CATTTCTGATCCTATTAATTTGCAAGTTCTCTCTCTGCCGTTTGATTAGTTTGGATAGGGGTTTGTCAATCTTGTTAATTTTCTCCAAGAACCAGCTTTTTGCTTCATTGATTCTATGAATTCTATTCTGTGTTTCTATTTTGTTGATTTCAGCCCTCAGTTTAATTATTTCCAGTCTTCTACTCCTCCTGGGTAAATCAGCTTCTTTTTTTTCTAGAGCTTTCAAGTGTGTTGTTAAGTCTCCAATGTGTGCTTTCTCTGTTTTCTTTAGGTGGGCACTTAGTGCTATGAACTTTCCTCTTAGCACTGCTTTCATTGTGTCCCATAGGTTTGAATACGTTGTGTCTTTGTTTTCATTATATTCAAGGAAGACTTTAATTTCTTTCTTTATTTCTTCCTTGACCCAGGGGTGATTTAGTAGTTGACTGTTCAACTTCCATGAGTTTGTTGGCTTCCTGGGTCTACCATTGTTGTTGAATTCTAATTTTAATCCATGGTGATCTGACAAGACACAGGTGGTCACTAATATTTTTTTGTATCTGTGGAAGTTTGCTTTGTTACCAAGTATGTGGTCAATTTTCGAGAAGGTTCCATGGGCTGCAGAGAAGAAGGTATACTCTTTCCTATTTGGGTGGAGTGTTCTATAGATGTCTGTTAAGTCCATATGATTCGGTACCTCCAATCAATCTCTTATTTCTCTGTTAGGTTTCTGTCTGATTGACCTGTCCATTGGTGAGAGAGGAGTGTTGAAGTCTCCTACTATTAGTGTGTGTGGTTTGATGACTGCCTTGAGTTCTAGAAGAGTTTCTTTTACATATGTGGGTGCCTTTATATTAGGGGCATAGATATTCAAGATTGAGACTTCTTCCTGATGAATTGTTCCTGTTATGAGTATGAAATGTCCATCTCCATCTCTTCTGATTGATTTTAGTTTGAAGTCGATTTTGTTAGATATTAGAATGGCCACACCTGCTTGTTTCTTAGGTCCATTTGCTTGGAAAACCTTTTCCCAACCCTTTCTCTGAGTAGGTGTCTGTCTTTGTGGTTGAGGTGTGTTTCTTGTAGACAGCAGAATGTTGGATCCTGTTTTCGTATCCAATCTCTAAGTCTGTGCCTCTTTATAGGTGAGTTGAGTCCATTGATTTTAAGTGATATTAATGACCAGTGATCGATGACTCCGGTCATTTTTTTGGGTAGTAGCGTGTATGTGTTTTCCTTCTTTGAGTTGTGCTTGTGAAGGGTCGCTAGATGTCTGAGTTAATGTAGGCAGTGTTGGGAATGTTGGATTCCTTGGGTTGTGATTTTCCTTCTAGTATTCTCTGTAAGGCTGGATTAGTAGCTACGTATTGTTTAAATTTGTTTTTATCCTGGAATATTTTGTTTTCTCCGTTGATAGTGAACAATAGCTTGGCTGGGTAAAGTAGTCTGGGTTTGCATCCATTGTCTCTTAGTTTCTGCAGTACCTCTATGCAGGACCTTCTGGCTTTCATGGTTTCCATCGAGAAGTCTGGTGTAAGTCTGATAGGTTTACCTTTATAAGTTACTTGACCTTTTTCCTTTGCAGCTCTCAATATCCTTTCTTTAGTCTGAATGCTTTGTGTTTTGATTATTATATGACGAGGGGATGTTTTTTTCTGATCCAGTCTATTCGGTGTTCTGTATGCTTCTTGAACCTTCATAGGAATATCGTTCTTTAGGATGGGAAAGTTTTCTTCTATAATTTTGTTGAGTATATTTTCTGGACCTTTGAAATGCAATTCTTCTCCTTCTTCTACTCCTATTATTCTTAGATTTGGTTTTTTTATTGTGTCCCACAGTTCCTGAATGTTTTGTGATGAGAATTTGTTGGATTTGCTGTTTTCTTTGGACAGAGTGTTTAATTTCTCTATGGTGTCCTCAGAGTCTGAGATTCTTTCTTCTATCTCTTGTATTCTATTGGTTAAGCTTGTTTCTGAAGTCTCTGTTCGTTTACCCAGATTTTCCATAGCCAGCTGGCCCTTGGTTTGTGATTTCTTCATTGACTCCATTTCAGTTTTCAAATCTTGAACTGTTTCTATTACCTGTTTGATTGTTTTTTCTTGGTTTCCCAGAATTTCATTTACGGATTTACTCATTTCTTCAAACTTTTTGGTATATTTCTCTTCCATTTCTTTACTCATTTCCTCAATTTTTTTGTTATACTTATCTTCCATTTCTTTACGGCAGATTTTCACGTCCTGTTTAAGTTCCTCTATTATTTTCATAAAGAAGCGCTTAGAGTCGATTTCTTCTATTTCTTCTGGAGTAGGGTGTTCAATTCTTCTAGTTTCGAGCTCCCTGGATTCTGGCGATGTCATGTTGCCTTTCAGGTTGTTGGAGGAATTCTTGCATTGGCGCCTGCCCATCTTCCCCACTCTGGATGAAACTCCTCAGCACTTTCTGGATAGAACTCCTCAGCACTCTCTGGGTAGGACTTCACAGCACTCTCTGGATAGAGCTCCTCAGCCCTCTCTGGGAAGAACTCCTCAGCAGGGCAACAGGGCTAGCTGGTCTTCCCAGGACCCAGGAGACAAAGGGCCCGCAGCAGTGGGGGGAGGGGAGGGGTCCCTTGGAACACCGAAGACCCTGCCTCAGAAGCTGAGGGGGGAAGGGCTATGCTCCCTTCCCGGGCAGGCAGGCAGGCTGCCCAGGCTAGCACCCACTCACCTCTCTGGGAAGAACTGCTCAGCAGGGCAACAGGGCTAGCAGGTCTTCCCAGGACTCAGGAGACAAAGGGCCCGCAGCAGTGGGGGGAGGGGAGGGGTCCCTCGGAACACCGAAGACCCTGCTGCAGAAGCTGGGGGGGGGGGCTGTGCTCTCTTCGTGGGCAGGCAGGCTGCCCCGGTGAGCACCCACTCACCTCTCTGGGAAGAACTGCTCCGCAGGGCAACAGGGCTAGCTGGTCTTCCCAGGACTCAGGAGACCTGGTGCACATCTTTAATCTCAGCACCTAGGAGGCAGATGCAGTTGAATCTTTGTGTGAGTACAGAGCTAGTTCCAGGACAGGCTCCAAAGCTACACAGAGAAACCCTGTCCTGAAAAACAAAAACAAAAACAAAAGAAACAAAAATAGTAGGCTGAGCAAGTCGTGTGGAGCCTGCCACTAAGCAGCACTCAGCCATGGTTTCTTTCCTGACTTCCCTCAGTGATAGACTGGGATAGGGACCCATAAGTCAAATAAACCCTTTTGTTCCCGTTTTGCTTTAGGTCAGAATATTTTTCATCACAGGAACAGAAAACAAACTAGGACATCAGGTTTTTAAGTTGGCTTTAAAGCTTTAGTATTAAGCCCTGGTATACAATGACAATTCCCTGTGTCCTATTATTTGTGTCATAATAAGTCTTAGACTTGAATCTTATAATAAAGGAATTTCATTTTACAAAAATCTTAACCCATGACACTAATTTGAAAGCATACTACATATTTAACTGATGACTAATCAGTTACTCATGCCTGTCAGATGTGACAAATGAGGTGCTCATTGAGACCGTGGCTAAAACCCGACCATATGCTACAGTGCCCCCCCAGATCTATCTAAATAAGAAATCTGCAATTAATAATCTTAAATTCTGCTGGATTGCCTTGTCCAGACTTAATACAAGGGGAAGAGCTTAGTACTTCCTCAACTTGATATGCTATGTTGATACCCATGGAAGGCCTGCCCCTTTCTGAACAGAAACAGGGGAGGGGTGGATTGTGGTGGGGGGACAGAGGGGAGGTGTGAGGAGGGAATGGAAGGAGAGGAAGGAGGGAAAACTGCAATTGTGATGTAAAATAAATGAAAAATTAGTTAACCAACAACAAAAAAGTTGGGAAGGTGGCTCACACCTTTAATCCCAGCACTTGGAAGGCAGAGACCAGAGGTCGAGGCCAGCCTGGTCTGTAAGAGCTAGCTCCAGGAGAGCTAGGATTGTTACACAGAGAAACCCTGTCCCAAAACCAAGAAACAAACAAAAACCCAGACAACAACAAAAAGACCTTAAATTATTCTTTTAAATTTTTATGGTTAGAAGTAAAACAAAACTTAAATAGATTTACTGTCTGTAAGTATGAAAACTTAATGTATACTTTGGTATACTATAACAAATAACATTGAAAACAACCAAGAAATATTCAGGCCATTTCTTTTTTCAAGGAATAATTTATGGGGCTCAATGGAACATCTCCTGTGTCAGTACGTCCTTACATTATATTTTATTTTGTGGGAGTATTAACATATCCCACATATGTTAACATATATGATTGAAAAAATTCTTTTAACCTAATATCTAATGGAAGATATCAATTAACTTATAAAAAATCACTAAAAGTTTAATGGTTTGTATAAACATGAACATATAGAAATAAACACTTTTCTTAGTTAGCTAATGTTAGCTCATGTTTGTCTAAAATCATGGTCTCCAGCTAAGAAAATAGCGATGGCTTAGTGGAGTAATTGATATAGGTGGGAAGGTAAGCTATCTGATCTGAAAAATTCATGCTTTAAAAAGGGGGGAAATGACAAATTGACCATTCTAAATATCTTGATTATAGCAGCAATAATAAATTGAATAATTTGCCTTGAATTTGAGTAGTTTAGAATCCAAGACTGGGCAATGCAGCTGCATGCAAATGAAATAACTCTCAGACAGTATACATGGGTTTAAAACAGCATGTGCAATTGTTTTCTGTCTTTCATGAAGGAGTCTTTCCTTTTTCCTCATGTATTATGAGCAATGAGGTTATCAAGCAGACAGCCCCCCCACCAAGAGACAGGGTTTCTCTGTAGCTTGGGAGCGTGTCCTGGAAATAGCTCTTGTAGACCAGGCTGGCCTTGAACTCACAGAGATCTACCTGCCTCTGCCTCATGAGTGCTTGTGATTAAAGGTGTATGCCACCACTACCCAGCTTAGACAGCTTCTAAGAACCAGCTATGTACACTATTTAATAACAGAACACAGCCCAGGACAATGATGCTGCAGAGACCTATGCTCCTGTTGTGCTAAAAGGTGAGGGTGATATGCAGACAGTAAGAGGAGCAAAAAGCTTCCTTGCCTTCCGAGTCTTCTCTGGGGAGTAAGGAGAAAGGGGCCTATGCAAGTCCCGCAGGGATGTATTGCTATGTACATTCAGTCCTAGATAGGCCAATAGGTGAAAAAGAAGCCGAAGAAAGCTGGAAGTTCCTCAGGCCTGCAAGGTTCCAACTACAAAGAATGGATGCTTAGGAGACTGGACTTGACCTCATTATCCACTTAATTCTGGCCCACCATAGTTCTCCATAATGAGCAGATGGCAATGATTAGAAAAGTAAACTGATGGTTACACCCAGTGATGAGATTTCTCATAGCTCTTTAAGTCAAAGCATACCGAAGAAATGTGGGGACCTAGGAGGTTTAACTGAGAGTCAGCTAGCTTTTCTTGCCTGACAAGCCTTTCTACCAAGCACTGAGCAAGCTATGTGAGAGTCTTCCACAGGGAGTGGCTGCCTTCAAACAATCAAATCCAGATTCTAAAATAAATAAATGAACTTCTCTCTTTGCAGGACTAGTCTGTGTTTTTTATTCCTCCCCTGGGACAGTGTCTTGTTTATACATACCAAGCTGTCCTAGAAACTCCATGTGTAGTCCAGGTTTGCCTTGAACTCACTATCCTGGAATTACAAATATATACCACCATGCTAGACTTTAAGGGTCTGTTTTCAGAATATATTGTCTGGAGCCTGGCATGGTGGCTCGTGCCTATAATTCCAGCACTCAGAAGGCAGGGACAGGCAGAAAGAGCAGGAATTTAAAACTAGCTTTGGTTGTATGTAAGTTTGAGGCCTGTCTGGTCTATAGGAAACCTTGTCTCAGAGAAAAAAAGAATCTATTTCATGTTTTCATTTATGAGAAAATAAAGAAGGCTTATGATAAGCTCAAACACTCTGTCAGGGAGGAAACAGATCACTATGCCACAACTTTTACAACATGATAAAGATGTTTTGCTGGCAATCCATATGTAAAGTGGATGTAAACACAAATTCCAGGGCCACAGCAGATAGTCTAGCAACATGAATCAGGATTTCTAGAAGTGTCAGTGGATACGAAAAAAAAAATGGTAAGTACTTAATGATGACAGAGTTTGGCTATGAGTGAAGATTGGGTGTTCACTGTAATATTTTCAGGCTATTTTCCTAAGGTAGTTCTAATTGTTCCTAACACTCAGAGATTTAGTCTATTCCCTATGTCACTAGTTAAAAAACTATCTATCTAGTATCTAGCTAAAAAACTCTTATTGTATTTGCATATATGTGCAGATACACTACATATATATATATATATATATATATATATATATATATTCTTACTGAACTTGGATCTCATTGACTTGGAGAGATAGGTCCTCCTGTCTCCACTCCACTCCTAGCACTGGGGTTGTAGGATGTACTGCTGTACTCCCATGGCTCTGCTTTATGTAGGTGCTAGGGATCTGAACGCAGTCCTCATGCTTGTGCAGCAGGCACTTTACTGACTTAACCATCTCCCCCAGTGCCCAGGTCTACCTTCTTCTAATAAGGATGACTTCACATAGGAACTTGGCTACTGGCCCAGTCTTTTTACCTCTTTGGGCCGCTTCTTGAGAGACTCTTTTCAATGCTTACAGAAGATTAATTTGGATGTGCTTAGATAGTTGGCTTTAATGCTACAGCACAAAGAATAAATGATCTCTTACTGATCATTGCTTCTACAGCAGTTTTAGGTTAACTGCTCCAAGTTACAGTCACATTACAAGACAAAAATGGTTGAAGATATGAGATAAGCAAATTTTAAAACATAAGCTAATGGGCCAGTGAAATGACTCACTAGTTAAAAATGCTTGCATTCAAGCCTAAAGTCAATCCCTGGCACCCACATGAGGGAAGGAAAAAATTGAGTTCTGCATGTTTTCCTCTTACCTCCACATATACACCATGGCACACATGTGCCATATTACATGCACACTGTGGCTTGTATGCAACACACACCTACAATCCACATATACATACATCCATATATGGTAAATAAATTAAACTCTAATTTTAAAATTTAAATAAAAATTTAATATAAACTAAATAATTTAAGGGTAATACATTTCAAACCAATGTAGCTTGCTAAGTAGTACTTTAGGGACCCCAGATGCTGTCCTTATTTTTAAAAATATTAATATTTGACTGCTCATGGATAATGTCAGACAATTCCTTTACCATGTCTCTGAAATTTGATTTTAGCCCTTCATGGTACTAGACTTGATCCTCTTTAATTAGCTACTCATTTATTTCAAGTGCAATGCTACATGCTTGTATAAATTTCCTGTGGATGAACATGAAAACAAAAGATTAAATTTTTGTTACTGATTCTTACAAAGTATCACCAACCATCAGTTTGACAGTTAACTTTGACTATGACTTTCTTAAAGAAAGATTGGGATATTCCACTTTCTCATTATTAGCTATGGTCACTTCTTAAGTCTGAAACACACTTTATCTTTCTTTTTTAGTTTCTGATCTGTTTTTAAGACCTGGCTGGTTACCAGGCGCATGCCTTTAATACCATTATTCAGTAGGCAGACGTAGGTGGGTCTCTGTGTGTTTGAGGTCAGTCTGGTCTACATAGCAAGCTGTGGGCTAGCTAAGGCAATAGAGACATAACCTGTCTTGTTACAAAACAAAACAAAATCAATACCAGGCTTAAAACATATTCCCCTGGTATTACATGGGAGAGGGCTGCTTGTTCAACCCAGCCACCCAGCTATCTTAGCCCAGAAATAACCACACAGAAACTGTGTTCATTAAATCATTGCTTGGCTTATTAGCTCTAACATCTTATCGGCTAACTCGTATACCTTGACTTAGCCCATTTCTATTAATCTATGTATCACAATGTGACAGTGGCTTACGGGCAAAGATTTGGCATGTCTATCTCTGGTGGCTCCATGGTGTCTCTCTCTGACTCTGCTTTCTTCCACCCAGAATTCAGTTCTGTCTTCACTGCCTACCTAAGTTCTGCCGTATCAACTAGGCCAAGGCAGTTTCTTTATTCATTAACCAATGACAGCAACACATGAACTGAAGGACCTTCTACAACACCCCTGGGAAGCTTAATGTAATTATTTACTGTCAAACATTCAAACAGAACTTATTTGGGGCTTATTAGTAGGTCAGTAGTGTTGTATATTACAGGTGCAAGTACTTGGGCTGGTAGGAATAAGGACAATGAGTAGAGAAAATATCATGAAAGTCATTCCTTCCATTATTTCTTATGTTTATATTAATGTTTATTCATCTCTCTCTCTTTCTTTCTTTCCTTCCTTCCTTCCTTCTTTCTTTCTTTCTTCCTTTCATTCTTTCTTTTTTGGTTTTTGGAGATAGGGTTTCTCTATGTTACAGGCCTAGCTGTCCTGGAACTAGCTCTTATAAACCAGGCTGGCCTTGAACTCAGAGAGATCCGCTTGCCTCTGCCTCGCAAGTGCTGGAATTAAAGGCGTGCATTACCACCACCCAGCCTCCATTCATTTTTCATGTGCTTAATGCATACATTTAAGAATGGATACATAAAGGGAAAAAGTGTCCCATTGCATGAATCTTTTGTATTCCTGTCATAGAAACTAGTGGAGTCTCTCGCACATGTAGTATGAGGGGCAGCTTGTTGGGGTTTCTGTTCCTGCCCTGTTCCCCACAACCGGCAAGTCCCAGAGAAAATCAATCACACAGAGATCTCTATAAGTTATAAAGCTGATTGGCCCATTAGGTCAGACTACTTATTAGTTCTTATGACTTATCCTAACCCATTATTCTGATCTATGTTAGCCATAATGGCTCTGTACCTTTCTCAGCTGGGCAAGTTACATGCTGCCTCTTCGGTAGTCTGCGCAGGAGTGGTGGTGGAGGGAGCTTCTGTTTCCAGAATACTCCCAGTCTCTTTGCTCCACCCCTACTTCCTGTCTGGCTTTCCCGCCTATACTGCCTGCCTGACCAATCAGCATTTTATTAAAATATGATTGACAGAATACAGATAATTCTCCCGCACCATTTCCCTCTTTTTTTTTTTAAACAAAGGAAAATACCCATAGTCCATTTGTTGGGAATGTGGGCGTAGTATTTCAGGCTACTTCCTGCTGGTAGTAGGGGGCACTGATATGCACAAGCCAGGCATATCCTATTCATAAATATTAATGAATGGCTGAGTACTGGCTACACTGCATCTGTATAGGTTGCTATCTTTCTCCTTAGTTTATTTTACTCTACTTGTCCTCATGTTCCATAGTTTAATTCTCTTTCCATATAAATCAGACTTTGATTCTGCTGATTCAGACATGCCTTTGCTTACAGGGTTACTCCCTGAAAACAAGCTAAGGCATTCTCCAGACCTGTGGAGTCCCAGTGAAAGTGAGAACACAGAGACCAGAAGGAAGTCTGTGCAACCTTTCCAGCTCCACTTCACTTCTGCCCTAGATGGTCTGAAATGCTATAATGCAAGGTCTATCTGGCAGAAAAGGAAATTGCATAATGAATGTAGGCCTGTGTTTGTGTCACTTAAAATATCCAAAGCAATAAAGTAAACTGGCATATTTAATCCTTTGGGTCACAGGACCAGTGTTAGTAACTCAGAGCATGAAATAGATCACATGGTTACTGACTACTTAAAGCGCCATTTGGAGGTCAATTAATCAGTGCAACTGCAGAACACAGAGAATGCCTTTACTTGGCAAGCATTTCTACTGCTGTTCTTTTTGTTATTGTTCTTGTTGTTGTTGTTTTTGAAGAAATTGGAAGAAAAGAATAGAGGTATGATCTGAAAACTAACACTTACCTAAACATGTCTTTCAACTCATTCACTTTCTTAGGTGGGTACTCGGTAGCTTGACTTTCATTTAAGAAAGCCTTTGCATAGGCTAATGAACCAACATTGACCTAAATTACAGAAGAGAAAAAAAAATGACAGTGTGGCCAGCATGTAAACAGGAGGAGAATTTGCATTTTTCCTTCTCACTAAAACCTCCAAGGGCTGAGGAGAGAGCAGATACACAATAAGATACAGAAGAAACCCAGACCTCACTATCGACTTATCATATTTCTGAGATGTTTGTGTGAAAAATCATTAACTAAAGGGATTAGTCTGATAAAATGATTCACCAATAAATTAGTTAATAATTTCTGATGTACGAATGCAGGACTTGACTGGTCTCAGAGGTTTATGTTAAAGTACTCTGACATAATACACCATTCATATAAACTGAATGTGGTTTATTTCTTACATGAAAAAAGAACACAGAATTTTTTTTCACAGCCAATATAAGAACATATCACACAACTGTATTCAATGCATGCTCTGAGCCCATATTGGGCAAGCACCATACCTGCACAGAGATGCAGCCCTGCATCTTCAGCTTCAGGTGAATCATGTCCACATCAGCCGAGGAGCAAAGCTTGTGCAGCTCTGCAGTTCTTTCTTTTATTTCTTCAGTAGCAAAATCAATTGGTTTTAGACTCACCTGCTACTCACAGTTGATTGGAATCCTCTTTTTCACATATGGAAATGAACCAAACACGTGTGTGTTACCTAGTTCTCCTGGCAGTGGAACCGGATGCCAGCGCCATCTTGTAATGGAGTATGTGGTTGCGGTCTTCTACATATAACAATTATAGTTTACACTGGAGCATCAACAGAATTTGTTTATATTATTTGAGACAGGGTTTCACACTGTATTTCAGGCTGGCCTGAAATTCAGTAGGAACCCACAGCAGCTTTGACTTTACAGCTGTCCTCCTACTTTAGCCTCTTTAGTGGGTGAATTACGGGTGTGAATTCATGTGTGGTTGATATGAATTTTAATGACTGAATGAATACACATGAGTTACTGGTTCATTCCCTTACTAAGAGACACATTCTTAATTTTCTAACATTTTTGCTATTGCAAGTCATTCTTTGGTGAACATTCTTGAATTTATAAGTGTTCTTTTTTTTCTAATTGTTTGCCTTAGGATACACGTTTTGTAGAAAAATATTGTTTAGTTTAAAGATTTATATACCTTTGAGTATTTTAACAAATTATCTAATTATACCACAAAGTAGCCTATCAATTTGGATGTCCACAAGCAATGTTTGATATCATGAGTAGATATTTTTAAAAAAATATTTTATTTTTATTTTATGAGTATGAGAGTTTGCCTCCATGTATGTATGTGCACTATGTGCATGCAATGTTCACCATGGTCAGAGTGAATATCAAAATCACTGGAGCTGGAGTTAAAGATGGTTGTGAGTCATTATTTGGGTACAGAGAACCGAGCCTGGGTTCTTTGCAAAAGTTGCAAGTGCATGCAACCACTGAGACATTTCTTCAGCCTCCAAGAGTAGTTTTCTCGCCTACATCAGTGTAATCCTAGCCAGCAGAGGAACAGAAAACAAGGAAATACAGTGATTTTATGTGGAAAACATAAGAGTTTAGTTGTAGGATTGGGGATTTATTCAACTGGTAGAAAGTTTGCCTAGCATGTACAAGGTACTTGGTTCAGTTGCCAGTAACCACCACCACCACCACCACCACCATCAGCAAACACAAGAGCCTAACACAGCTGCTGCTCATTTCGTGCGGCATCTCAATTCCATGCCAAGCAGTGCTGCTGCTGTCCTTGTTGAAGGTTCCCCTGCGGATTCGCAAATTCTATCCTTTCTCCTTAATTCAAGACAAAACTTGGAATCTGCTTTCAGTATTTCCCAATGAAAGCAGCCTTGTGTCCTGGGTGCTTGTGACTTCCTTACTATCTTTGTCATTTACCAGTCATGCCTGTCTGTGTTTAGTGAAAAAATAAGAAACAAATAAAATCAACACAAATCTCCCTGCACACAGACTCTGTATCTTTTTCCTCTCCATATTTGCAGGGGGGCAGTAACATCTTAACACCGGGTAACATCTTTAAACCCCTTCTCTTTACTTGGCTCACTCTGGAAACATTAACCTTTCTTTCCTGTTATACTTATCTTAGCCAAAAGGCTCAGAAATAATTCTCTCACATTTAAAAGCTGGAATTTTCTAGAAAAACCTCAGTCAAAGTAATTATTTAGCTAAGAAGAAACATAAATAGGAAATAAAAGTCAAGTAGTACACAGGGTATATACGAATAACCAAAAAAATCCTTCCTAGCAGAGTCTCTAGGTCCATTTCTCAGGGATAATCATAAGCAACATTTTCTTCCATATTTGACTCTATATATTTCCTAAACATATAGAAATAAGCTTATGTGGATTTCCAATTTTGATACAAATATATTTATTAACCCTACTCTCCTGCATCTTGTTTTTTTATTCTTTAATGGAATATTTTGAAATTGTCATACTGATATGATAAACCATTCATACTGCCAGACATCGTGGCTAACAACACCTATACTCCTAGCATTGTGAAGAGCAAAGAGTTTGAATCCAACCTGGACTACAAAGAGAGTCTTTAGCCTGCCTGAGCAACAAAGTAAGACTATCTCCATGCCATCCCTCACCAAAAAATAAAATACATCACTCTTTTCATTCCTAGGAGACTATACATTAGAAATTATTAGCCAGGCAGTGGTGGCACATGCCTTTAATTCCAGCACTAGGGAGACAGAGGCAGATGAATTTCTGTGAGTTTGAGGCCAGATTGGTCTACAGAGCAAGTTCCAAGACAGGCTCCAAAGCTACAAAGAAACCCTTTCTTGAAAAAAAATTACTATTATACTTTATTTCTCCCATGCAGGTAGCTATATGAGTATCAGGTTCTTTCCAGACTTATATAGCGCTAAACTTCTTTAAACAAATGAACTTTTAAAATAAATATAATAGAAAACTTTAAACATGATATTTTTTTTGGCCCAAAGGGCACACACATTTAAGATAGTGGAAGACATTGCTAAACTTCATTCCAGTTGCCTGTGCCTTCAAGCAGATTTTGTTCCTTGGCAAGCACAAAAGAATGGTTTGCTTTGGGTTCTGTTTTGCTTGGCATGATAGCTCAGGCTCATAATCTGCCTCTCTGTCCTCCCAACAAAAACCACACATGTAAAACAATGCTTTCAATTTTAAAACTTTCAAACATTTTCAACTTTCAAACATTAAAAATCAGGCAGCTGCCATCCAGAGGGCCATCGGAGGGGTGAGTTTGCTTCGGGCCCGCGGCAGGGGCCCGGCGAGGAGGAGCTAGGACTTTTCCCGACCCCATAGACTCCCATGTCAGCCTGCTCTGCTGGCTCCACCCTGCTAGCGCCTCCGACCAGCCATCCCAGCTTCCATCCAGAGGGCCATTGGAGGGGTGAGTTTGCTTCGGGCCCGCGGCAGGGGCCCTGCAAGGAGGAGCTAGGACTTTCCCCGACCCCATAGACTCCCAGGTCACCCTGCTCTGCTGGCTCCACCCTACTAAGCTCTCCCGCCTGCCATCCCAGCTTCCATCCAGGTACAAATTTCTATATTTCTCCCTTCCCACTGGGGCCATAAAATTTCCCCAGCTCAGCTGCCTTGCACACTGGGCCTGCTCTGTAGGCGCATCCCGGAAAGAGGGAGTTCCTGTGCTTCAATAGCCTGCCTGAGGAAAGGTAGGCATTCTATCAGTGAACTCCCTGCCCAACAAGGGAACCTGACCCGATACCAGAAGTTCCAATAGAGAGCATTTGAACGAAGAGATGGGCAGATGCCAAGGCAAGATCTCCTCCAACAATCTGAAAAACAACATGAAAACACCAGATCCCAACAACCCTACAACAGAAGGACTTGAACACTCTAACCCAGATGAAGTGGAAAAAAAGTGCCATTATGAAAGCAATAGAGTCCCTTAAACAGGATATGAATAACTCCCTTAAAGAATTGGATGAGAAGTATAACAAAAAAGTTTGAAGAAATGAGTATAGAAATGGATGAGAAATATAACAAAAAGTTTGAAGAACTAAGTAAATCCGTGAATGATACCCTGAGAAACCAAGAAAAAACAATCAAACAAGTAAAGGAAACAGTCCAAGAATTGAAAACTGAAATGGAGGCAATGAAGAAAACACAAAACGAGAACCGGCTGGATATGAAAAACCTAGGTAAACGAACGAAGACTACAGAATCAAGCATAACCAATAGAATACAAGAGATAGAAGAACGAATCTCAGATTCTGAAGATACCATAGAGAAAATAAATGCTCTGGTCCAAGAAAATGGCAAATCCAACAAATTCTCTTCACAAAACATTCAGGAAATCTGGGACACAATAAAAAAACCAAATATAAGAATAATAGGGATTGAAGAAGGAGAAGAACTGCAGATCAAAGACCCAGAAAATATATTTAACAAAATTATAGAAGAAAACTTTCCCAATCTAAAGAACGATATTCCTATGAAGGTTCAAGAAGCATACAGAACGCCAAATAGACTGGATCAAAAAAAAAGTCCCCTTGCCATATAATAATCAAAACACAAAACATTCAGATTAAAGAAAGAATATTAAGAGCTGCAAAGGAAAAAGGTCAAGTGACTTATAAAGGTAAACCTATCAGGCTTACACCAGACTTCTCTATGGAAACCATGAAAGCCAGAAGATCCTGGATAGAGGTACTGCAGAAACTAAGAGACCATGGATGCAAACCCAGACTACTATACCCAGCCAAGCTATCATTCACTATCACGGGAGAAAACAAAATGTTCCAGGATAAAAATAAATTTAAACAATTCGTAGCCACAAATCCAGCCCTACAGAAAGTAATAGAAGGAAAATCGCAACCCAAGGAATCCAACATTGCCATCACTGCCTACAATAACTCAGACATCTAGCGACCCTTCACAACCACAACTCAAAGAAGAGAATCACACAAACTCTACTACACACACACACACACACACAAATAATAAACGGAATCAACAACCACTGGTCATTAAAATCACTTAATATCAATGGACTCAACTCACCTATAAAAAGGCACAGACTTAGAGACTGGATAAGAAAACAGGATCCAACATTCTGCTGTTTACAAGAAACACACCTCAACCACAGAGATAGACATCTACTCAGAGTAAAGGGTTGGGAAAAGGTTTTCCAAGCAAACAGACCTAAGAAACAAGCTGGTGTGGCCATTCTAATATCTAACAAAATTGACTTCAAACTAAAATCAATCAGAAGAGATGGAGATGGACATTTCATACTCATAACAGGAACAATTAATCAGGAGAAGGTCTCAATCTTGAATATCTACGGCCCTAATATAAAAGCACCCACTTATGTAAAAGAAAAACTTTTAGAACTCAAGGCAGTCATCAAACCACACACACTGATAGTAGGAGACTTCAACACACCTCTCTCACCAATGGACAGATCAATCAAACAGAAACTCAACAGAGAAATGAGAGAATTGCTAGAGGTAATGAATCAAATGGACTTAACAGATATCTATAGAACATTCTACCCAAAAAGGAAGGAATATACCTTCTTCTCTGCAGCTCATGGAACCTTC